GAAAGTTAGGACCATTGAGGAGATTCTTGATGGTATATTACAGGTCTACACAATATATATCATTATACATATATTAATATAGTACATTATGTCAGTAGGTTATTAATATATTAATATTAATATGTATTACTTGTAAGTATACATTACCTATCAGAATATGTTATAAAAAATAATCAATATGATTGGAGCTTTGCTTAATAGGCTTAACTTTGAAGAATTACATAGCAGAAAGGGATAGGAGACAAGGGCAGACAGAAATCTGTTATAAAATCCCAGGTGTGAAACAATGAAGACTGAATTATGGTGGTTCTAATGTTAATGGAAAGAGATGAGAGTAAATAGATTGGAGAGGGTAGATTGTAGAGACAGTTAAATATACGAATTGGAACTGCCTGAATACAGAGAGTTAAGACAAATTCAAAGACAAGCACATTTTCAAGTCGGAGAGAATGGTGTCACGTTAGGGGAAACAGCTCTCTGGGCTCATCATAGTATAGTAGGACGTAACTTCCAGCATTGTTCTGCTGACATATATGTATTTAGCATAGCACCTAGAGGTTAAAAGTGCTCAGTAAATATTAGCTATTATTATTAAATGATCAATAGAATGATCAAATATGGAAAGTGGAATCTTACTCTAAAATGTTTATTGTTTTGTTTAAAATATAACAAAAAGTTATTAAAAATTCAAATGCTACAGACATATATAGTACAAACACCAGAGACAACTAATAATAACAGCTTGGTATTTATATCTAGTTTTTTTTCTATTCTCACACTAACATTATTATTATTATTATTATTATTATTATTATTATTATTATTTGTATCTATACAAAGTTAGGATCATTCTAGGCAACTTCTTCCTTTTTGTAAAGTCGAATGTTTTGGAGCTCTTTCCAGAACAGAACATATAGTTGTCTCATATCCTTTTTGATAATACTACTTATTTCATTGCATTCAAGTGCCATAGAGAATCTAAGGGACACTCAGGGGAACTAGGTGGAGATTCAGGCCCAACAGTGCCTGTGTAGCCTTTGTATGTATTAGGAAAATTGATCCCTGTAGGTGGTTACAGCCTTGCAGGTGTGTATCTTGATTGGCAAACCCTGAACTTGATCTCACCCTCTCCCCTTGGCCCCATGCTGGGCACCTGTGGCAGAGAACAACCTACACAACCATTAGCAGAGCTGGGAGGAAAAGCCAAGCCAGTGTTTAAAATCGGTGCAGCACAGAAAAGAGCATGAATGTTGAGCTCTTAGCTATAGATTTGGTTGCTTCTCCACAGAAGTCATGGCTGAAGTCTTGGATGGATGAGAAATGGATGAGGCTCCATGAGAGAGACGATACAAAGAAAAGAAATTAAGGAGCGATAACTTCAAAACCACCTGTGGGAATGGAATAAGGGAGACACAACAAGAGACACAGAAAGGGGCAGAGGGGAACAGCATACTGATACACAGATGATAGAATAAACTCTATCACCTTCCAGACTCTGCTTAAGCACATATATTGTTATATACATATATGTATATATCAAGGTATCATTTGCAGTCTGAATCCCTGCTCTCTGATTTCTCCTTCTGAATTCAGAAAGTGAAATAACTCAGAAAAAGGTTGGATAAATTCCTTGCTATCAGAACTGTCATGATCACCACCAGAAATTCAGGAATCAAACAGGTTCTGATAATGTGGTATCCTCACTTCCCAAGCTCGCTAGATGAACTCAGGAAACAAACAGATTTGAATTATGAGAGACATTTGTAAATACATTATAATTTTAATTTAAAATCTGAAGCATCAAATGAAATTTTCCCCAACCCCTGGCTCATTTAGTCATTTGCAGAAATTTTGTTCTAATAACTGATTTTTTTTTGTCTATCTTACATATTTTTATTTGGCTCTTAAGAATGTGCTCTCAAATACGTTTTCCTTTTTTTAAATAAAAGTTTTCTTTATTTTCCAAAATACCTTCTTCAGTTACTTCCTCTAATATCCAAACTTTATCTAGTTCCTCTTTCTAAAGCTGCCAATAGCATGAATTTTTCTGAACTGATTTTGTTAGGTTTCTAAAAGTATCCTGTTATCATCAATAAATGATGCCTTACTTATGGAAATTTCTTGTACCATTTGCTGTTCCTGTAGAGAATCAAGAAGTCAAACTGTGTCTTCTGATTTTTTTTTTAGTATTTTATTATGAAATATAAATAACATTATGAAGAAAAGTTGACTTTTTCCTATCTACTTTCTTTAAAAATCACTAATTATTTTAAACAATTTATTATTAGAAAACTAAGATACCTTTATTTTTTATTTATTTTTTTGCTGGATCTGTGTGTTCCTAAATAGGAATTCAGGTTTAGACCCATGGAAATGAATTATAATAAACAAGATGAAAATATATTGAAGTTAATAATGAATATACAATTATTTTCCTCTTATTTATATACATAATATAAAACAAAAGCATTCAGCAAGGCTACAGTATTTTGAGAGTAATTTTAATGATTTAAAATTTACCTAATGTTTTTATAAGCAATCAAACGTACATTCTGCGTACAAGAGACAACAATATTTCCAGGCTAAAACTGTATTAAAGACAAGGATCAAAAACCTTTTCTCTACTTCTGTTCTCAACTAATATTTTCCCATGCTATGTGTAATTGGACTTTTTGGTTGCCATTTCTGGAGCGAAGTTTCAGAGCCTCACTTGAATGTATGGAGCATTTTTATTTCAGCGTAAACACTTCAGCCAAGTGGTCCCACTACACCTTCGCTAATGAAAGACAGAAACTACATCACTGCCATATTAAGCAAGACTTTCAAGTTAGTAGTCACCAAACCTTTTGTTTGTCTATCCTTATGAACAAAATATTTTGATTCACCCCTAATAAACATAAACATACATGAAAATCAAAACTAACAATGATAAGATACAAAAACTTAATATTTTATTTCTGTGCACTCAGGAATGTGCACACTCATGTTAAAGATAATTTATGTATTTTCTCTCATGAAAGGACTGAGTTCTTCTTGTTATTACCCATTGTTTGAGAAGTTCTTTTTTCCCCAGTGACTGGGAAATACCAATCTCTCTCTCTCTGTCTCTCTCTCTCTCTCTCTTTCTCTCTCTCTCTCTCTTTTAACCATCCAGTTTGCTAAACTGATCTGGTTAACAGAAACAAGATTTCTGTCTATGTATACTTTATTTTAATTTATCTTTAGTGTTGAAAATATTACAGATGTCCCTTTTTTCCCCATTAACCGCTTCTACCCCCCACCCACTCCCCACCCCAGGACTTCACCACACTATTGTCTGTGTCCATGGGTTATGTATATATGCATATAAATTCTTTGGTTACTCTCTCCCCACCCACCACCACCTTCCCCCTGAGATTTGTCATTCTGTTCCATGCTTCTATGTCGCTGAATCTACTTTGTCCATCAGTTTATTATGTTCTTTAGATCCCACATATGAGCGAGATCATGTAATGTTTGTCTTTCTCTGCCTGGCTTATTTCGCTTAGCACAATATTCTCCAGGTCCATCTATACTGTCCCGAAGGGTACGAGATCCTTCTTCTTTACAGCTGCATAGTATTCTGTGGTGTAAATGTTCCATAGCTTTTTTATTCACTCATCTACTGATGGGCACTTCTACGTATATTTTAAACTGTTGTGCCACCATTTATGCTTTTAACACTGCTAGCCTTTAATTCACATGGAACTGATTATTCATATAGGTAAGAGTCCATTACTCCTAAAGTTTAAATTGTTAAGCCTGAAACAAACAGAAGCATATGTAAACTTGTTCAATTGCCCCAGCTTATTTTAAAGAACAGGGAGTTTGTACTGCATAAAATTTTTAGCCTGATTTGAAATGTGTGAATGTGTTTGCGTGTGTAATGTAAATGTAAATATTATTTTGTTAAGAATCTCTTGGTAATATACAATTAATTACATTAACCTCCCACTTCTTTTCATTATTTATTACATAATTCAATAATTATTTGAATTATTTTAGTATGCCCACTACTAGTAATAATAATATTTACATACATTACTGGAATAAACTTCTGGAAAAATTGCCTCATTAATAAAATGTGTGTGTGTGTGTGTGTGATAGAGAAAGAGAGAGGGAGATGGGGCTACTTTAGTGGTCTACACAGATTAAATTCATTATATGTATTTATAAATTTGTTATATATTCTAATAACGCAAGTTCATTTGTGCACTAATAACCAAAAAAAGTAAAATATTCTAAAGTAAAACTGCTCTTTAAATCTGAGAGGATTATAAAATGCTTTAATCTTAGAGTCATGAATGAGATCAAAAGAAATAGATTCAATGATGCCACTAAACATGGGCACAATGCTTTTAGGAGATAAAAATAATAAGGACCTGAGGGAAATATATTTATATCTCCAAGGAATTAACTTCATTGGTAACATTTTTTAAAAATATATTTTATTGATTTCAGAGAGAAGAAGGGAGAGAGAGAGAGAGAGAGAAACATCAGAGATGAAAAAGCGTCATTGATCTGTCTGCCTCCTTCACACCCCCTGCTGGGGATGGAGCCCTCAACCCCTGACCGGGAATTGAACCTTGATCTCCTGGTCATAGGTCGATGCTTCACCACTAAGCCATGTAGGCCAGGCAACATTTTCTAAGTTTAAAAAACATGTTACATGTTTTCTAATTTTGGATCTTTGTTTTATTTCTCAGAAGGACTGGCATTCTGACTGCAGTCTTTCTCAATCCCCATCTCCCTAACACACAGGTCACTAGCTCTTGCTAGATTTCCTTGTATCTCTTAGTGACAGATCTGAATCACATGTGAAAACAAAACTCTGGCAAACAGTTTCAACAGGCCTTGTTCAGTGGCATACACAAAACGAAATTTCTTTTTTTGTGATAGTTTTAATAAACGTGACTTAAAACACAAGGGATATAATGTTAGCAATATTGCACCTCAAAAGAGGAGAAAGTTGGGTATGTTACCTCCTGATTAGCAGCAGCTAGTTCTTCTTCCAGTGCAGAGACTCTTTCTAAAGAAACCCTCAGTCGCTCCCTTACCTAGAAGAAAAACCAAAAGATGTGCCATAATGTACATCCCATACATGTTAAACTGTTAATCCATCATTAACATTATCAAAGACAGTCACAGCTGGTGATTTTTCCACTATTTGAAGTCCTAAGTGCTCCAGAATACTATGAATATGTTGTCACCTCATAGTGTCACTGTATCAAAAGAGATTTCCTTGTAAGTCCTTTTAGTGTTTCCAGGATAGGTTTTCCAGGGGATTTGGAAATAGACCTGTCTTGTTCTCAATTCTGATTCATAGTAAGTGAAGGCAAAGTTGAAAAGTTTCTTATGAATTCATCTGAAAAACGGTCACCAACTAAGCATAAGATGTAGGCATAAACTTTTTACTTCTTTAAAATAATAAATCATTTTTCATTTGGCATATACTACATAACTACAAAAATTATTTTCTAAAAGCAAAGGATTCTTAGAATCTGAAACACGTTGTCCATTGCTCAAATGTTTTGTTAGTTAGAGGTCTACATTGTTATTGAGAGATTGAAAAGTACTTAATTATTCTGGAATTCCTAGCTTAATTATTCCAGATATCTAAGGTTAAACCATTATTTTTTGTAGAACTAAAGATTTTGCACATTTAGTTTGAAAATAATTATGATTTACAATGTTTCATACGCAAATGAAACTCAGTGTTTCTTTTATCCTTGCTTTCTAAAATTGTTATATTTATTATATCTTCAGATGTATAGATATTCCCTATATATTACATTTATCCAAAAGGGTAAATATCTTTATCATGTGAAAATATTACATTTATAAAAAAATTCAGAAAAAATTAATTTGGCTGAATTAAAAGGAATGACTATAGCAGCTTCATTTTCCTTAATAAAAAAAAAAATAAACAAAATTTATATCTTTAACTTAAGATGCAATTTATGGCCCCGATGGTGTGGCTCACTTGGTTGACCTTCCTCCCATGCACTGAAAGGTTGCTGGTTGGATTCCGGCGGTTGGGGCACATGCCCAGGTTGCAGGTTTGAGCCCTGGTTGGGGTGCATGCAGGAGGTTTGAGTCCTGGTGGGAGGCTTGACCCATGTGCAGGAGGCTACCAACTGATGTTTCTTTTTCTTCCCCTCTCCCTTCTTCTCTCTTTAAAATCAGTAAAAACATTTCATTTTTTTAAAAGATGCAATTTTTGGTGAGTTTTTGGGTATTTTTGAATTAACCTAGAGGTTTTTTTTTATGAGAATGTTACAGTATTTGCAAAGTGAATATGTATTTAAATATATAATTATATATTTATAAACTTTAACTTTGTTATAATTTTGTTAATTTATTGAGAGTATATTTTATGGTATTCTCTTTTTAGTAAGATTTAACAGGAATATAAGTTAAATACTCTATGAAATATATAAAAACATACATAAAATTTTGATGGCTCGGCGCCGGCTGGAAAGAGAAAATGCAAAGAATCAGGGTCCGGTTTGTAAAACGCAGTCCTGCCCTCTACGTTGCAAGTCGCAGGCAGTTACATGGTTTTGCGACTGCGTGGTAGAGCCCTATTTTTTAAAAATATGTTTTAACTGATTTTTTTAGAGAAAGAGAGGAAGGGTAAGGGAGAGAGAGAAACAACCAGAGAGAAACATCAATCAGCTGCCTCCTGAACGCCCCCAGTGGAGCAAATGCCCTGACTGGGAATCAAACTGGCAACCTCTTGGTGCATCCGACCCCGAGGCTCAGCCAACTGAACCACACCGGCCAGGGCCATACATAGCAACTTTAAAGTTGCAGTTAAAATATTCTTTTCCAATTAGCAAATAAACAAAAAGCACTACTGTCCTATAAATCTAGAATCTAATTTGAAATCTTAAAAAATCTCAATGTACTTTTGTACTCTATAATGATATCTGATATATATTCCAGTGACCGGGTGCACTTAACTCCTGAAATAATCTTGAGTAATAAAGAATAAGTATCTGAGTTGAGTTTAACATTAGTTATATTTTATTACACTCAAATTCTCTGCAAACTGGTAATACATATATACATACATAAATGGACATTTGATAACAGATAATTATGCAAATACTTCATGATATCTAGGTGTACTAGATTGCCAGGTATCAGTGCTATTAGACACATATCCAATTATTCACAAAAATGCATAAAACTAATTCTGATTAATAACTGAACAGAGCTAATTGGAAGGAATTCTTTGATGATTTGACTTGGGGATACTTTCTTATGAACATCTTAGAAAGATGCTAAAGAAGCAAATATCCCCAAGACATGAAAATGAGGAGGACTGCTGATATGTGGAATACAGATATGAACAAAAATTTTAATAGATGTGCTTGATATTTTAACAAAGAGAGTTGTGAAGTTTTATGCTCACTTCCTAAAATACCAACTATAAAATATGGGTGTTCTGGTAAAGGTTTAGGAATCCTAGTTGATGAGAACAGCAGCGTGAAATTGTTCAATATAAGTATATGATCTCATGGTATGCACCATTGATCGGATCACATTTAGACTGCTATGAAGAGGTTAAGGCACCATATTTGAAAAGATATACCAATACATTGGCATGATTCTAAGAGAGTTATTCGAGTCAGATAAGGATTGGCTGAAACCAGGCTATCTTGTAGGTTAAGCATTTATATTCTCATGTTGAGCCTTCAAGAAAACAGAATACCCCCTCAATAAATTTAGAACAGCATTAACAACTTGATATTATATTAACCACAAATAAATCTGAAGCTGCCTTTACAAGAAAATAAAAACAATTTCTTAATATATTTTGAATTAATGGTATCAATGTAAAAATTGCTGATATAAATATCAATACATTATATGAATTTTTATTCACATTTATATTAGGATTAACTGGTCTCTGTATTTAATTCATCATGCACTAATTTCAGCTAAACTTAGTAAAGAAAAAATGGGTTGGGCAAAAGGGTAACTTTTCTAGGATTTAAAGAACCCTAACATTTTACCTTGTGTGCATAGCTGGAATGCCACTGATGGGGGGAAAAATAGTATCTCTGGCAAGCCTTTTACCTTTTTGCTCTGCTCTGAGCATTGCATCAGCAGGATGCCATCACTATTTTTACTTTTCTTGTTGGATTTGGTGGGTTTCTTTTTCCTTAAATGTAAGTTCATAATTGATAGCTTGGCTCTAAACTTAACTTTTCTAGTTTTCTACTATTTAACTATGTTCAATTAATCAATTTCTTCACAGTATTTAAGCTATGATATATTGCTTATTTATAGAGCTATAGTGTAACCCCCAAAGTATATTTTTATGTACATATAGAATATTTGATATATAATTTCATCTGTTACATCTATTTTCTTCATAATGGTATAAAAATAAAGATAAGTGGAGTGGATTTTTCTTCCCCAAAGGTGTTTCAAGGCCACAGAAATATTACCCCTAGGAATTAAAATAAAATAAGTCCCTAAAAAATAACAAATGTGTTTCATAATGAAAAGAAATTTTGGTGGGCAAAGCATACATTTTAAATAAAAATTAAGTCATAGCAGGGTTTCATTTTGGAATTATCCATCCTGTAACAACCATTGTGACAAAATCTCCAAACACCAAAAGTTCAAGTCCAGTTTTGGTACTGTGATGTTAGATCATAGAAATTAATGGGGAGTGCATACATAGTTTATATTTTTGCTATAGTTCCTGTACATCTCCTATATATATATTTTAAAATAGTCAATACAAAACACATACACATTTCTCATTTCCTCCAGCCTGCAGAATTGGTGAACATATTGGCAACTGATGTAAAAATTACTGTTGGTCTTAGCTAATTGTAAAAATTCTACCTTACAACTCAGTGGATGTATAAATAAGGACATTAGTAATGAAGACTGCCAGTCACTGTAACTGTCCCTAGCATGCTCAAGCTTTTATATTGCATTTAGCTCCTCAGGTGTTCTAAACCCTGTGTGATAAAGTTGGCATAAAGTTGGTAGTTCCTTGCGCTCAAGATATGGTTAATTGCATCTTCATTTGACCTTCTATCTGTACTTTAATATACATTCCCTAGTTTAAATTAGAATATTGTGATTAGTTGTTTTATTTTTGTTTCCTCACCCATTCCTATCATCATGAGAAGCTGTGAGCTATTCTTAGGGAAATTGTCTGTGAAGGTGCTTAGACACATATTAATTCCTCAATAACTAAATGAAATGCTATTTAAAACAAGCATGAGAATCAACAGTGATAATATCTTTACATAGTTTGAAAGTTTTGTCAAATGCTGAAACTTAATCATGTAAATAGTAATATTCATTAACATTCACTGAGCCATTCGACATATGCTGAGCACGGGCTGCAAGCTTTGCATGTCAGATCGTCCTAATTCTCATGACAACCCTAAGAGGCTTAGAGATGCCACTAATGCATGTGTGTCCAACTTCAGAGCCCAAAGTCATAACACTTTTCCTTTAGGCTGTTCAGCATTACTTAGTTGTTCATCAGTTCAGTTGTCCCTAAACTTACTAATATGCAAGGCACATCTGGTGAGTTATTACACCTTATTACAGTTTCTGGGGCCATAGTATAAAATACTTCATTTAATTAGGCTAAGTTCACTGAACTGATAGTAAATTATTTCTATATTCTAAGTTGTACAACAACCATTTGCTTCTTAAATGTACTCACACCCACCAGGTTATTTGTCTTAAACGCTGTTTATTGCTTTCCATTCATTGCTTCATAAAACTATTCCTCACTTAAACGATGTGGCATGCTTCTAGAGAGCATCCCAAATCACACATTCTCACGTACCTTCATTCAAGTTATGTTAAATTTTCTATAAACATGTTCTTCATATAGCTCTGGGTTATAATATATATTGGTTGTAATGTTTAGAGTATCTTTATTTCTCTGTTTAAAAAACCCTGACACATTTTTAATACCCAGATCACATGTCACTCACTCTATGAATTCATTCTTGACTTCCTTGTCACTTTCTCAAGCAGAATTAAGTCACCACTTTTTCTGTGGCTCCGTATCGCTTTGTACACATGTCTTCTTAGCAGTGCCTCTATTGACATGTGAATCTGCAGCACTAATTATAAACTCCCCAGTTGTAAGAAGAATATATTATTTATCTTTCTGTGCCAAAAATCTGCCAAGGAGTCTAACACATAACAGATATTCTATAAAGTCTTGCAAATTCTTAACTATGTACTTTTGTAATCAGAAAAGGGATGTAATATGAAACTTAACATTAAATATATTAAATGATTATCTGACAAGCAATATTAGTTGATATTATATTTATCAGGAATAATTATATAATTTCCATTTTGTTTTATTCAACATTATTCATAAACAAGTTGCCTCTCATGGCTAAAATGAAAAATAAAATAATTTCTTCCTAATAATCTGGAAGACAGAATTATAGTTATCATTATGTACATACTCCACATAATCCCCAGCTCAAAGAACATCTGAAAAACCAATGATAAAAATATATGTGCATATAAATATTAAATAGAGCAAGAGTGTCTGCATGTCAAAACCTAGATGTAACTGGGTAATAATCCCTAGTTCGGAGATTAATGTTCAGAACTTGTCAGATAGTTTACAATGAAATGACCCAATTTCCACTGTACAAAATCCTAAAGCTTTATTAATTTTAAAATGTTCATTCTTTAACATTTACAAAATGGAAATCATGCCACAAGCCTTACTAATCTGCAAAGGATATTATCATCATATTGGCTTATGTCAGTAGAATTTATCTGAGGAACAGCTGAAAGAAATTTATAGCTACTTTAAAAAGGACCTAATGCAGGTGTTTCTACTAATACCTTATGCTGTTACGTGTTGAGACTTAAAAATGTATATTCAGAATTATGATATTAGAGACCTAAAAATATTGTATGGTTCTAATATACACCTCAAGATGTACTTACTTGCCAGTTAGTTGAACCCTAATGAGTCCAATGTTGGCATCTATATACATGCATTTCAGAGAGGAGTGGGGCAAGAGAAAAGGAAAGAGAGAGAGAAAGAAAGGCTGAATGATATTATTAAATTTCAGTTGGCCATGGAGAGTAGGACCATAATGTGCCATAAAAGAAGTCTAACTTGATAATCCATAGATTCAGTAAAATTAAAAACATAGTTATGAATATTACCAATATACACACAATAGCCCCGTTGCATTTATTAAAAAATGATTTTCATATAACTCAAACCCGTTCCTCTGAACTGACTGACTCAGGGGTCAGGTGCGTCCTGGAAGAACACAAGGAGCACAGTTGCTGTGATCCTCAGCAAATGCACAGGTAGGCTGAAGTCTTTTGACACTACTATACTTTTTATTTCTAGTAAAGTTTTTTAAAACATTTAGCTTTCTTGAAGTAGAATTGACATATAAAAGTGTAAGAATCCTTTTACAATACTGTACCTTTTCATCCAAGGCCTTGTGGTGCTCAAACAAAGATTTCAGTGCCTTGAGAACCTCAACCTCACTGGACACTCCGGAGGGGGACTGGGCTTGCCGTTTAACCACAGTCATTCTTAGTGACCTTTCGTGTCGTGACACAAGGCACTCCAAATGCTCCAGTAACAGCTATTGGGTTTAACAGAAAATAGAATTATCTTATAGATACAAGTCATTAATACTTATAAATTACTTCAACCTTAAAAGATTGCAGTTTTACATAATATCTAATGAGAACCTCAGGTTATAATACAGGTAAGCGGCAAAAAGTACAAACCTGTGTCTAAACCAGGGTTCATAAAATACATTAAAACTAAATTGCATTTTAAGAGGGCATAGAGGGGATAAAAGGTGATGGGGGAGAAAAACTAAATTGCATTTCTATTATATTAAAAGTTACTGAATTTTAAAATATAATGTAAACTTTATACATTCTTTTAGAAATTTTAATCATTTAAGTATGGATTCAGTAGAACACAACATAATATATGTGACCCAATATGAAAATTATTAAAGAACATTGCACAGTGCATGATGATTTTGTTAATGGTGTTTAAAGTCAAAATTAATTTCATTTATACTTGGTTATTTAAATTTTTTTAATTGAAGGAAATGTGCATAATCATTATGTGGATTTAAAAGTGATTGTAATGATAAATAATCACATGCTGTATAGTGATCATCATAATCACACATTGCTATAGTAATTATAGTGATAATCACTAATAATTTTATGTACAATTAACTCAAATTAGATCATAGAAAAATGTATGCAATCAACTGAAATATAGTGACTACTGAGATTTGCAATCATCATTTCAGGGCAAAAGGTTAAAGGACACAATTTTATTTTAAATCATTTTTTAAATTACAGTTGACATACTATATATATATATATATATATATACACACACACACATATATATATGAAACTAATATATATATATTAGTTTCAGTTGTACATTAGTTTTAAACTGAGTAGTCTAGAACCTGCATTTACCCAGAGTGGCCTCTGGGGCCATGATAGAGGTCAAGAATAGATAGAAGTCCAGTGGTTTCAGTATGTTCCAGACTCTATGCTGTGACTTTTCCCAGAGAAATTTTGCTTTTAAATGTTTTGAGACTTAGGATATCACCTTTGTTTTCTTTTATAAGGAAGTTCTGTCACTAAAAACAAAGACACATGAAAATAATTTTTTTTTTTTAAAAACTACTGGATTATCAGTTATTAACATGTTGCTGTTGAAGAATGCATGTCCAGTCAGTTTTGTAGGAGAGCTTTTCAGAAGGATGGTGAAAACAGGCTAACAAATGGTGTCTATGCAAAATAAGGCAGAAACTACTCAAACAAGAGGGAAAAGCCCATATAGGATACTGAGGTAGAAATAAAGAAAACACTTTACTTTTTTCCAGGATTTTTTCCTAAAACTTACACTGTCATGAACATTTTTGATTTTCACAATGCCATTGTTAGATTCAGTGTCATATATTAGTACCACATTTCTTAATGGTTAATAAGTTCATTTCTCTACATTTATTGTTTCTAATTATGGGTCAGTGTCAGAAAACTTTGCCATGTCATTGGCACAAAGAAACACAAATACCTGAGATTCTAAACATACACAGATCAGTAAGTAGAAGTCATATTCAAGGGTCAAAATAACAGCGATAGAAATTCTGCATGAAGATGGCACAAATATCAATATTTCAAGGAGTTTTCCTTTTATTTATCAAGTCTGATTTTATTCATGGTATTCTACTCTTGAATTCTATAGACACATGCTGGTATTGATTAAATCCATGCCGTTTCAGGTAGGGTATGTGGTATTTTATGAACTTAACCCTGCCTGTTTCTCCAACATCATCTGGTGTTAGTCTTTCCCTGGCAAAGTATGTTCTAACCACACTACCTACGTCTGGTTTCTCAGTATGCCAATTTGCATATGTTGTACCTTCTGCCTGGAGCACTTTCTTTCACTCCTCCTTTGGCCAGCTCCTTCTCATTCTTTTATCTCAGTTTAAACATCACCCTCTTAAAGAAACATTTGCTCATTGCTCTACATAAAGTAGGTCTCTCCTCTTCCCAGCCTCCACAATTCTCTATTTGAATTGCTTGCTTCTTTTGTTCGTAACATATTGTGCTATGTCATTTCTGAAGAACAGTTTCACTAAATTGTATTCTGTTTCCTCATGGAAGTATAAACTTCATGAGGGTAGGTGCCATGTCCATCTTGATTTATTTGGCCTCTGTATTTGAATATTAGTTTAGTTCCTGACACCAATAGATAAGCAATACATATTTGTTGGGTAGATACATTTCAGTATTACTGTTGTTTAGAATTTTAATATGGAAAAGCATATGCTACAGTTGGATTGTAGTGTAGACTTGATATTTGTGGTTGCCTAGTATTGTGTGAACAAACTCAGCATATTTAATAGTTCCCCACATTCTGAATGCCATTGTCTTACTATAATAACAAAAGATCCAAGAAACACTTCTCAGTCATGTTGACCACTAGGTGGCAGATATGTGACTTCAGAGTCAGCCAACCAGAGCCACATGCACAGGACAGATTCTGAGCCGGTGAAATGAGGAAACGTGTTGGGCAGGGGTGTCTGTTTTGCTGGCACAAGTAGTAGCAGAAGGTGCATGTTACTGGGACTGGAGTTGTGAGAAAAACGTACAAGACGAAGAAATATGGTCCTAGAAATTGTGCCTGGAAGCTCAGTTTAAAGATTTCTTATGTACCTTAATTAATTTCTTCGTGATTAAAACAGCTAAGCTGTACTGTTATGTACAACTAGGAACTGTCGTCTGTGTAATAATAAAACCAAACGTATTTTTATTAATATAAAACAGACTTCTTATGGGCTTAATTTAACTTACCCTGAATACTCAATACCTAGGAAAATATTCTGCATAATATATGCTTAGTACTTGACGATTTAATGATAAATGTAAATTATCTAGCTTGGAGAACGTGGCTAAAGATGTTCAAATGTGGCATGTGTCTGTGGCTTTTAAACTTACAAATGTAAATAAATTATAAATAAAAAGGAACTGGTTTAAGATACCACTAATAATCTGCTAATTGTACCTTTTCTGGAAGCCACACTTTAGTATTTAATAAAGCTTGCAGAGGTATACTCAAAAAAATTGCAGGGACTATATGAATAACCATTAATCCTATGTTGGAGTTCACTTTAAATGATGACAGCCTATCTATGTATACAAAGAAACACACGTTATATATGCATACACACATATGGCATCATTGGACATATTTGAACTAAATTTCTAAAACTATACATCTTCATATTAAAATTTGAATTTGACTTAACATTGTGCACAATTATTTCCAATCACAAATGGCATTCAAGTAGAAATACACTCTTCCCTATAGACCAATTTGGCTGCTGTAGTGTGTTCATATAACACAATGTTAACATCTGAAAATGAAAACATTAGAACTAGTTGCTTTCATGCTCAGTCCATTCAACATCCTTTCATCTCAAATACAGTCTACAGTCCCTTATGTGTGTGTTTTAATGTGCTCTTTTTATTTTAAGAGAGACAGAGAGAGAGAGAGACATTGATCAGTTGCTTCCCGTTCACACCCATCGAACACACAACCTGGGTATGTGCCCCGACTGGAATCGAACTGTGACCCTTTGGTTTAGGGGATGAGTGAGTGTCCAACCAACTGAGCCACACCAGCCAGGGCCCCTGTGTTTCTCATGTACATGTTTAAGTCTTACATTGAAGTAGATGTTGGGAGGGTAGGTGCCCTATCTTATTCACTTGTGTATTTATTATATCCCATCGTAGAACATTCATAAATATGTATACATGCACCCATATATGCAATACATGTATATTCACCTGCTATAATATTTGTACAGTCAAGTATAACATGGGATGACTTTATTTGGATATCTTCAATTAAATTACTTGAGGCAGCTGAATTTAAGGGCAGCTCTAGTGATTACCTTGATTTCTTTCATTCACTCATATTTTGGGGCAGGGAACCAGGTATTTCTGTAGTGACAAAGTGAGGAATGGTCACAACTTTCAGCTTGGACATCACAATAAATACCTAGTATATTATTTTCCACACAATTAAGGCAAAAATAAATTTCTGAACAGATTAGGAGTGAATTACAAAACAAAACCCACAACAAACTCTGCTCTTCCTTAAACACAATTCCTCGTATCCCATCTGATTTGTGAATGACATAGGAATATGACTTCTTAGATACACAGCCTGTGGTTAAGGTGAGCAATGGATTCCCTGGGTGTGTCACTTATAAGTCATGTGGCCTGAGGCAAGTTACTTACTATGTTAGTTTCCCATCAGTTAAGTGGGGAAAGTGGGGTTGCCACAAGGACAAAGTTAAATATGTGAAATCCTTAGAAAGACATTTTGTACTTAATTAACTTAGGTATTATATTATTATTATTATTATTATTATTATTATTATTACTTGATATATTAAATAAACTTTAGTCATTCAACTCCATTTAAAACTTCTGTTTTCTATTTGGAAGAAGGTATAAGTCATTCAAATATCAAACAGGAGGGCCCTTTCTCATCTATTCTTTTTGATGATACCCAAAGTTAACACAAATAACTATCCATTTATGAGTTGTCTTTGTGGCTGTCTTATTTGTGTTATTTCAATCAATATATTAACTACTCAAGATAAAAGAAGAGCCACAAGTTTATGAGAACCTTAAAAATTAAAACATGCAATTCTACTTTGTTTTCTCAGAATCTAACACCAATCAATTTTTTTCAAGTGTGATAAGAAAATATTAGGCAGTTGTTTTCTCTCCATGACTAATAAGTAGGCATTAATAGCAAGTAATCTATAAAACTGTTATATTTAGCAACATTATTAGGGCATTATGGAGGAAGAGAGGAGGTATGGCTAATTTTCAGCCCTAGATATTTTTTGGATGGTGGAGAAGGTCAGAGGTGGTTATTTAATTTAGGTAGTTGTCATATAATCAATACTTTGCACAAGGAAGACTTGATAAATTTGTTTTCCTTTTACATGACATAATCAATAACAAAAATCTTCCACATAACTGCTTTTAAGAAAGGTAGAGAAATGTTTTCTAGGCGGGGGATGGGTGAAAAGGGTAAAGGGAATTTAGAAGTACAAATCACCAGTTATAAAATAGTCACAGAGCTGTAGGGAATATAGTCAGTAATATTGTAACAACTATGAATGGTGGCAGATGAATATTAAACAGATTGTGGTGATGACTTAAGGTACATAAATGTCCAATCACTATTCTGTATACCTGAAACTAATATAATATTTATGTCAAAAGTAATTTTAAAAGAAAGAAAAGAATAACATTTTCCGGGTTCATCTATGCTTTCAAAGTAACTATTATTCATGTTTAAATTCAATGGTTTCAGTTCCTAATGGGACTTAATATTTGTATTTTGCTCACTTTGACTCCTGAAAAGGTATTTAAATGTAGCTTCTCTTAGTTCTTTTATTACAATAGTCACAGCTACTTTTGGGCCTCTTGAGTGTAATATGATGAAAACTGTGGATGCTGTCCCCAAATCTCCTAGTTCTCTGAAATGAGTCACAATCAAGGAGAAATGACACGCTCCATACTGCAGTACTTCACTCTTAGGTAATGTCTCACATAAGCCGTAGTAAATCTAGGAGATTTTTGTGGATTTAACGTAAATATTTGTACTGATGGCCTTATGGCTAAGGGTAGAGGCTCTGGAGTTATTCTGCCTTAGCTTTCAAATCCCTTCTCTGCTATTTCTTACTGCATGACTTCAGGCAAGTTATCTGCCCTTTTCTGAGCTCAGCTGACTCATCTGTAAAATGGGGATAATTATAACATCTCTCACATAGGGCTGTGGAAAGGAGTAACAGGGCTATAGAAAGATAGGCTATATGCAGCAGAAATACGTGCACAATTAATAAAGAGATTTTGTGTATTTTAAATATGAGAAATAGTTGAAAGCTACCTGGAGGTTTGCATCTCCCTCCATTTTCAGTTTTGGCCTTCTACTTTGACATTTGGCTTATTGTGCTACATTAGGGAATGTGGACAAAAACATTAAAAGAGAGAATAGTGAAATAGGGCAGGATAAATCTCATGGCAGAAATAAACTAAATTTGGATAAAAAAATGGTTTGCAAATATAGAGAGGGAGAAAAAAACAGAAAATGTTGATCCAACACCTAATAACTGATCTAAACTGCTCATTTTGTCCTATTTGAGGCAGTCCATTTTCTTGGCATTGATCTGTTAGAGCACAAACATTTAAAATATTTTTCATCTATTTCATATAAAATTGAACTATATCCACACAAAAGGGGTTTTTCTCTATGTTCATTAGTAGAATAACTGCTCTCATTTCTGAGTATTTATGGCAATTTATATATTTTATGCAATTTAATGACTTCTTAACAACTAAAATATACAGCATCTTTGATCAAATTCTGAACTTTAATGTTAAATGTCATGAGATTGAAACAATACGTGGGTTTCCAAGAGCAGAATATAGTAAATTCCATCCATTTCCTGAAATCAGAAATGAAAAGTCTCCACGACAATCTTCTAAAACAGAAAAGGTATGCCTCTTCTAACTAGGAGATTTCTTTTACAGTGGTTTTACATTTTAGAACTGTTTTATTTTTTAGATAAATATTTTGCTGGGCGAGATGAGGACCGATGCCACGACAGTCCCTCATATTACCTCAAAATCGAAACTCAGACTCCTCTCTCCAGCCTCTCCCTGTGCCTTTCTCCAGCCTGTGAGGTCTCCCACCCCAGCACAACAGTTTAAAGTTTGAGATTCTGTATTGAAATCCAGCCTTTCCTTTGAAAATTAAAAAAAAGCAAAGGCCAGAAAGAAAAAAGAACATTTTCTAAGGCAACAGTGATTTAGCAGCAGAGACTATAATTTAGGCTTCCTGTCTTCCTGTTTTGATTTTTTTGTAGTATATTTTCCTTTAAGTAACTGACATAGGTAGTGTGATGTCTGACGTTTTTAAATGTTTATTTTTTATGTGCATAGAACAGATAAGGCATGAACTATATATGGAATTCATTCCAAGCACAGGCGACTTTATACTTACTCTTGTGTTGTTTCTTTCAGCTTTAAGTTCAGAAATTTCTTCTTCCTTTTCTAGAAGTTGTTCCCTGCAGGCATTTAATTCTTTTGTCAGTGCAGCAAATTCCTGAAAGGAGGAGAAAAATATTTGAAGTCACTTTTCAGATAGATATATATGATTCCAGCAGAAATTTAAAAAACTTCAGAATCTAAACTTTTGAATGTAAAGAATGAAAAAAATGACTCAAATGACTGGCTATCTATATATACATTGCTGTTACTAAATTAACTTGATTCCAATGTTCAAAAAAATGCTAATCCATGATATTTAACATAACATTTTATTATAATATGCTGCATAGATGAATGGATCAAATCTATTTCAAAATGTATTAGATACATGATACTGCACTTAACATTAGTATGATAATATATTAATGAAATAGAATAATTTAAATTTGGCTAATTTTGTTAATCACTCAAAAAATCTTACACTTTTATTCCTATAAAGCAATGTCGAAACTATATACACTGGATCATCAAAAAAAACCCCACAAAAAATGGAACCACCACCACCAACTAAAAACAATCCCACTAAATGTGCTATTTAGAGATTAAGAAGTTTATTTATTCATTAACAACATGAAGAAAGGGAATGTACCTCTTACAAAATAATAAGTCGATATACATCTTGATAATATTTTCCAAGAGTCTCTTATTAATTTATGCTTAGCTTTCCTTCTAAAATGTAAGCTCCATGTGAAATGACTTTTTCTGACTTCACTGCTACACTCTCAACTTCTAACACAAAGTGGGTGCTCAATTAATATTTCTTTTCAATAAATAAAAATGGTCATGTTGTTATAAAAAATTTGGAAGTTTTGAAGTATTCCTCTATGTGATAAATGACTAAGACTATAATGACTTTGGAGGAATCGTCAATGGTTTCCTTCCCCCAAATGAGATTAGATAGTACAAGGTGGGACAAAAGTAGGCTTAGGTTTACAGTTGTGAGTACAGAAAACACAGGGTTTATTCTTGTATTATTACTTATTAATTATTGTATTATTTTCCATACAAACAACTGTATATAATATGAGTAATTCTACCCTAAGCAGAGGTTAGACACAGTAACATTTACTTTAGGAAAGATCAAGAAATCTAATTCAACTATTCTGCTACTCTTATAAGCAAACATTATTTTAAAATGTTTTTGAAAAATAATNTATAATATGGGTAATTCTACCCTAAGCAGAGGTTAGACACAGTAACATTTACTTTAGGAAAGATCAAGAAATCTAATTCAACTATTCTGCTACTCTTATAAGCAAACATTATTTTAAAATGTTTTTGAAAAATAATAAAGATTCATATTATCATTAAATCACTTTCAGTGGTTCTTAGTAATAAAATTTATGCTTGTTGAATATTTAAATATTTGGGAAAACTTAGCTGCAGGCTGAGAAGGCACTGTCAGAAGATGAAAAAAAAAATTGGGAAGACAGATTTGGTGAACCTAACGTTCACAGAGGCAAATTTAGTATAAAGTAAATGAATATATGATTATGCAAAGCTGGGAAAGGTTGAGGGTTTATATTTTTGTTTGCTTCAAACCACTTATTTTGCTGAGTTTTTCTGAGTGGCTTAGGCCCAAGTGGGAACTTCAAAGAACTCCAAGTGGACCTAGAGCTTAGAATCAAGACAAAAGAATCCCTTGTTCCATTTGGGCTGGCGTTACAGAGAAAGATCCTCTCCCCTCATTGCTGCCTGCTTAAATGCTTTGATATTCTCTGGTATATTATTTAAATGGAGAATGAAAATAAACATGTGAAAACAATAAACATTTCCATAAAAATGAAGCCTTTATATAAACTGCATAGTTTGATAGGAAAAGAAGAAAGTGACAAAGGTTCTGTACTGTGTGTTATTAACATATAGTCACTTAAATGTAACCCTATACTCATGAATATTATGACAAAACATAAGTCAAATCTGCATATTTAACATACCCATTTTAAGAAACATATATCTGGGTTGATCTTTCTAAAGATTTAGCTTGCTATCTACAAAAAGATAAGAAATCAGAAGGAATTGAATATTCCCAGATGGTGAAATAAGTGATTTTTTTGGCTTCCTCCTATGTATTTCTACAATGGAGAAATAGGCTTTTATGTGTAGAGAACAAGAGAAAATATAACTCTGTAAGTGCAATCAGGTATTCAATCAGGTATGATGGGTCAGTGTAGATTCATCAACTATAAGAAATGTACCACAACAGAAATTAGTCATGATGCTATTGGTGACAGATGACTTTGCATTTTTTGTTTATTATCATGACACTGATTATGAGCAAGCTATTTAGTGACTCCATGGATGAAAATTAGACTTACACTTATTGACTTCCTGTAAATTTCAGGCACTACTTTCACATTCATTATCTCATCTTGCTCTCTAATAACCAGTGAGGGAGTCTTATTCACATTTTATGGCGGAGGAAACTCGATTACTAAGAATTAAGTCCAAGTTCACGAGGCAAGCCATAGAGAGTGAGTGAGGCTGTGAACCTGGTTCCTCAGGCTATTTGTCTAGTGCTTTTCCACTATACCATTTTGACCTTCGCTGTTCATCTGGTTTATATGATTCAGATATAGGGTGCATTTAGCTATACTCTCTTTCCTTATCTGAAGAATTAGATAACCATTACTTACAATTACCCTGCAAGATCCTTCTTAATCAGTTCAAAGGGAGGGTGGGGAACTAGGAGGCCCAAGGCAGGGTTTTCCTTCCAAGCAGAGGAACACGTATTAGACAAGCACATTCTGCATATCTGGGACTGTGATAGATGCAGATACCTCACATGGAGTTAATTACTAAGTGGTTTTACACTTTTCCTCTGATATTTCTCTCTTCTGTACCTATGTTTCTATCCTTACTGTCAGTAATTGAGTTTTATATGTCTTTTATGAGATAATAACAGCAAATATAATTAACATTGACATGCCGGGCACTCTGCCAAGCAATTTATATTGATTATCTAATTAATTCTAATAAAGTCCTGAAAAATACAGTGTCTCATAAACAACATTATATACTCTTACTATATAATCTAGCAATCTCACTCTTTGGTATTTACTCCAAAGAGTTGAGAACTATCTACACAAAAACCTGCACATGGGTGTTTATAGCAGCTTTATTCACAATTGCTAAAACTTGGAACTAACCAAGGTGCCCTTCAGTAGGTGAATAGATAAATAAATGGTGCTACGTCCAGACAATGGAATATTATTCAATACTAAAAAGAAATGAGCTATCAAGCCAGGAAAAAAACATGGAGGAACTTTAAATGCATATTACTAAGTGAAAAAACCAATCTGATAAAGGTTACATTCTGTATGATTCCAACTATATGACATTCTGAAAAAAAACAAATCAAAACTATGGAGACACAGACTGACAAATCTCAGAGGGAAGGCAGGGGTGGGTGGGT